CCCCAAAACCCCAAAACCCCAAGAGCTATGATATGCATTTCTATAATGATAATTTTATTTAAAACTAATATAATTTTTCTAATATGCTAAATTTTAATGAGGATGTTGATTTTAAAATCCCAGAAGAACAAGAAGATAATCTCTGCTCTCCTTTACTCCCTAAATTTTCATCTAGTAAAGAAATTCGAAATCATTTTTACTTTAAGAGATATCATTGACTGATAAGCAACCTCAGAAGAGAAGATTCACAATGAATGGAAGTAAAACTAGGATTAATTAAGAGCCAGTAGAGTATTATGTGTAGGATTGCAATGACACAAATCCCCTAGAATCAGAATTTTTCTTAAGAACTTTAGGTTGTGGTGATAGAGAACAAATTGAGCCAGTCTGAAAATAGTCTAGCTCGTTCAACTTGAGAAGAGAAAAAAATGATGAGCTTGATAGTTTTGCTCCAAATTAAAAACTTCTGTCTCTGGAAAAATAAAATTCTGAACAAATTAGTTCAAGTTCAGACATTCATGATGATATGAGGTTTAATTAAGTATTGCAGGCTTCCATCAAGAGTCACTATCTGGTGAAAAATCATTCTCAAATTTATTAGTCCACTCTGACAGGAAGTGGGATACCTATGATTGACATCAATGAAGAGCATGAAGATGGCATTTTTTCTTCTGATGAGGATAGTTAAGGGGATGTTGATTACTTTTACTAGGTCAAAAGCAGTAACTTCTCTCAACTTATTAACCAGTAGGTTCAAGATACTGAATAACAAAAGGTTGAAAAAAGGTAAAGCTTCAATGATGAATAATTAAATGGTTCTTTAAAAAAGATTCAGATTGATGAAGTTATCAATAGTATAGAAAATAATGATTTAAATTCAGAAGATCTGGTCAAGCAAGAAAGCATGTATTTCCTCCAAAATGACAATTAGGCTCAAGGAGATGACCTATTTTTCTTGGAAAAAGAACTTGTTGATGCAAAGGCCGAAAAAGAAGGGACTCCTCGTTTTGGAGACTAAACTAAATTTAAAAACCTAAAATTCGTCTTTAGAAATGAATAATAACGTCAGAAATTTTTAAAAGATTATGAGTAGGCATAAAATATTTGGTATCAGCTGTAAGATACAAGAAAGTGCTAATCCTATATTAAAAAAAGTAAAATTTGCAGATATCTCTATGAAAATCTAGGGCCTCTTTAGCTTTAAAGCCCTAGCACTAAATAATCAAATGATGATTTTGAGTCTACCTAGGAATCTGTAGTTAATAGGCAAACAATCGTAATATGTGACTTACACAAACTTCTGATATATATTAGAAAGTCATCTCACACAAACCAAGATATATTAATTAAGACAAAAAGTAATGGGATATCTGTAAAGTTCTTTGTTTCTGTTAGAAGAGGAACAATCCAAGCACTTTTGAAGTTAAGACAAAAATTTGATGTGGTTATTTATTCATCCTTGGATAAAGAAATGGGAGATGCAATAATAGATCATTTAGAATAAGAATTAGCGGGAGGGAAGAAGTTATTTGATCAGAGATTTCACTCTCAAGATTCTGATTCAATTACTTGTAAGCAATTAGGCTTTGTAGAGCATAAGTAGAAATCACTAGAGTTAATTATACTTTCTTAGCACAGCTAAGCTTTGTAGTTTCAATAATCAACATTTAAGACTAATCCTTAAAACTATGCATTTAATTCGTTTTAGCTTCAGTAGTACAGATCTGAAAGGAATGTTATACTTGTGTCTTAAAACTTGAAAGATGTAGTATCTCAAATGTAAAATGTAATACCCATCAAGCAGTATGATGGGAAAAAGTCTAAGAATAGTACCATCATGAACTTAGTATTGTACTTATATAAACGACTACTAGGCGTTCCAGATGTAAGAGAGATAATCAAGACAGATTTTCACTCACTTACTAATAAGCTATAAATAAACTAATGAATAATTTCTGAAATTTTCTTAATTACTACAATTTTTGCAATAAGGGGTTTTGGGGTTTTGGGGTTTTGGGG